ATTTGAAATATATAAATTCTAAACACATTAAAGGGAAGAAAAAACATATTTGTTTACTGTTAAATCTCCACTCACTTTAATCATCTTCCTGTTACAAAACTAACTTTGTGTCGAAAACAGGAAGTTCGGTCAAACAGATCGACTGAAAACTTCAAAATAAAATGCAAAACGAAGATAAGAGCACTAAACTCACCATAAAAAAAATATAAGGTAACAAAACAAAGGGATAAATACACATGTTTTAACAAAATAAAAACATATAAATTTAAATAAACTGTTTTCTCACCATTTCCCCTGGGTTGCATTTTGTTTTTTTATTTACAGTCTATAAAAAAACGAATTAATCTGGTTTTGATTAAAAACTTAAAAGCCAAATTAAGTAATTTTGGTGTCAAATGTAATGATTTATATTAATTTCTTTCCATTTTGTCAGCTTCTGCACAAATGTTTGTCTTGCGTTTCCTTCTTGTTTTAAATGTCAATCATCTTGTTAAAATGCTGGATAATAATCAGGTTTACAGAAAGCTAATTATAACTGAGCGCTACGTCAAAAAGTAAAGGTAATCAGCTTTTGTTAGCTTTATAAACGAGTCTTTTAAATCTAAATAAAATAAAATGTTAGCTCTTCACAAGATGGCTGCCAAGATCTCATCTGGAGCCATCAGTGTTGATTTGTTTAAACTCTGCTTCAAAATGTGATTTTATTTATTTTAACTTTAAAACAAAGTCTGTTTTCTCTTCAAACATTAAAGGTTTGAATCTTAAATTTAATGGATGTGATTCAGCTGCAGGTCTGTGGTACCTTCACAAAGTTCAACAAGCGGCGGAAGCCCCAGGGAACCGAGTGGGGCCACTCAGAACCAGGATCAGGCCACCGTGGGTCCACCAGCTCAGCCAGGTCACGGTCCACAAAGTAGCTGTCCCCGAGGCCTGACGGGTAGTTCTTCTGGGTCACGTAGCGGGTGGTGTAGTGTCCCAGGCCCAGGAAGTCGATGGTTCCTTTCATGTAGCTTTTCTCCTGAGGCAAGAAAACCGGCAGCCGTGAAGCTCCCAGACCCTGCTGACCGCTTTTTCTGCCTGCAGGTCAAAGGTCAGGAGATGTCAGTTCACTTCCTGTTTCTGTCCAGCTGTTGTTACTGGATGTTCACCAACGACCCATTCATTTTTTAATTCAACCCAATTCAAAATGATGCCAAGGCTAACTGACCCAAACAAACCCACAAACGACTTCATCATCATTTGTATCATGTTTGCTACGCAGGATTCTGTGACCTATATTTTATCAATGAGGTCAATATTTTCATCAAAAACCTGTTTTATGTCATGTGAGACCTGTATTCTGCCCTCTGGTGGATTAACAATGTACTGCAGGAAGTGGAACTTCTTCTTTTGCCTTTTCAAAATGTCTGCTGACATGACGTCATCCACATTTTTTTTTTCAGGAAAACTTTTACTAATTTTGGAGAAGTTATGTTAAGAATAACTTCAATATTGTTTGAAATTTTTTAAAATAAATACTTTCTGTGTTGAAACAATGCATAATTACTTAAAAAGCATTTTTTTAATAATACAGTTAAACCATGTTAAAATGTGTATCAAACTTGATACTGCAGGTATATAAAGTTCTCCAGTCCTGAATGTCATGTGACAGTTTAGTCATTTTAGTAATTTAATCAACAGTATTCTCACCACAATACAACACACACTATTTTGGATGATTGATTAATTATTGAAATGCCATTTGAAAACACATTTTGTCTATTTTCAAAGTGGTTTCCTTTGAAATTATAATCTCTACGCTGTACTGACTAAATATTTACATGTTAGCTGTCAAAGAAAATTGAGGAAGAAGAGAGAAAAAAGAAAGTAAGAAAATGTCATAAATATGATAATAGCTGGTGATTTTTTATAAAGTGTAAGGTACATCTGTGCCTGAACAAGGACAGAAACTGTATTTGTGCCTACCACCAAGTGAAATAAATGGCTGTAAAAAGTTCTTTGTAAAAAAAAACAACAACAAAGAAGTAAACTTCCTACAGTGTTCTAAAGTTTTGGGCAAAACTGTTTTTTTGTTTCTTAATTTAACTTTGTTGTGAGACAAAATGTTACCAAAACAGCCCAGTGTATCAGATTTGATACAAAAAATATCTCATAAACAAAGTGATGCAGCAAAAAAAAAATTTTTTTTCGATTTTGTTTAAAGGCCCAATAAACATGTCAGTTCTAAAAAAATGTGAATTTTCTGACTTTTTTTAAAAGGGTTAGGCTTTATATGGCTAAATCTTCAAAATAAAAAAACTTTCCCTCAAGAAAAACGAGTTTATTTTGTGTTAAAAGTAAAAGAAATTGGAACAAAGTGTGTTTCTGTGACAGGCTGTTGGGAACAAAGATCCTAAAGATCGTTTTAAACTTTAACACCTGTTTTGTTTCAAAACAAATCTGCTTCATCTCCTGAGTTTAGAAGCGTTGTAAATTTTATGTCAGATTAAAAAAACAAAACTTTCTCTGTAAATGGTCAGGTACAAGCCCTGAAATAACGTAGAAAATCTCAAATCTAGAGCTGCTTCAGACCAAAGCCTTCCAGGGAAGTCTCGCTGCTTGGAGAGAAATGACAAATAATGAAAGTGGAAGGGTCGTTTTGCACAGGACTGCATGTGTTTATGTTATTATATGTAGTATAATATATTACATGTAAATGTTAGTGCGTGTTTGAACATACCTACATATTCTTTCATGACCTGAGGGTAGTCCCCGTTGAAGAGCGGAGCAGCAAACCAGCCCAGGTAGAACTGAATGTAGCGCTCTGCTGCTTCAATGTCCCTCTGATTGGACACGTCCACTGGTTCACCCCAGTCAGCAGTCAGAGAAATCCCAATGAGACCTGGACAAACATGAAATACCATTCTGTGTTTGATTAACCAGCAAAACTCTCATCAGTTGACATGAGTGTTATGGTGGCCCTCAAAGGGCCAGTTATATCTACCTTTAACGTTTCATGTTTAACTTCAACTGAACACAAAAAATCATGTTCCTGAGCACCACTAACAAACAGTAACTGAGCTCTACCTGGTATTTCCTGCATAGAAACAGTATTTAACACATAAACACTAAAAAGTACTACGACTGACTACATGTGTAATAAACAAAACAGAAATACTATTAAAGTAATTATAAGAGAGTTTTACACACTGATGAGTTGTGGTGAGTCACAAATACTGAACTCTCCCACTTTCCTACAGGGAATTCCCATTTATAATCAACATGCATTATGGGAGATGTAGTTTTTGGTCGATACTGGCTTTAAAGCAGCTTATTTTGAGACAAAGATGTTCAAATAAATTGCTCAGGAGGTCACAGTTACTCCAAACCAACARCTCAGAGGCCAGAAACATATTATTCATCACMTTTTAAATGTGYTTATTMTGTTGTAGCCAGTCAAAAATTTAAACTTTACCAGTGATATAAAAACTATTTTCATATTAAATTGGGCCTAAAACTTCCACAACCCAACCTCAAATATATGATTGATGGATGGATGGATGGATGGATGGATGGTTGGATGGATGGATGAATGAATGAAGTGATATTTTCTTCACCTTTCTGTTTGCTCCTCCACTTCATGTCATACGTGTGCCAGACTTTAGCATGAGCCTGTTAAAAACAACACAGTTTTCAGGTTTGTTGAACGTTTAGAACATTTGAATGTTTCAGTC